TTCGTGCAATCATATAGTCTGCAATAACTATTATCTTATGAATCTTAATTTTTTTCTAATCACTTCCGGTGGAACAAGTTTTGCTCCAAAAGCTCGCGCGTAGGCTTCCATTAAATGCTGATTTTCTCGAAAACAAGCTCGGGACACCCAATTTTTCTTTCCAGATTTGGAATCAGCACTAAATTTCAATTCGGAAAATCGAAGTTAAAAAAAAGTTTAAATCGTTTTCCAAAAGTAGGCAGTCACCTTAAACAAATGATTTTTATCCTTATGAGAATAAACATGGTTGCCGCGCGAGTAAGGCCACCTAGATCTGGTTTAGAGTCAGATCTGGTATGCCTGTGATACACGGATACCGTATGATTGACAACATCCTTTGAACCAATCACAGAGCACGAGATCACTACTTAACCAATCGCAACGATCGTCAGGTTAAGGTACGCTAAATCCGTGAAGTGAGACAGATTTTCACAGTGTTTTACGAAACCTGCTCTATAGGGATAGGAAATTATTTAAATATTTCAAAATAAATTGATTGAATGATGGATTGATTGATCCACTGATTGATTGATTGATCCACTAATTGATTGATTGATTGATTGATTAATAGCGCAGCGCACCGATTCTAAAAATAGCTTAAAGATTCGGACAAACATTGCATTCTGTTTAACCGCTACGAGGATTATACGAACCGATTTTATTATTTTTACTTAAGTTACAATAATAAACCCATGTAAACTAAGATCAACTGCGATCGGCTGTGAAAATTATCTGCYGAAAGTAAACATGTAAGTTTGTTTGTTCGAATTTCGCCTTTGTCTTCGTTTTTATGACGTCACGGTTGCGCTGCGCTATTGATTGATTGACTTATCGATAGTCTGAGTGACTGTTTGACTGATCGATAGAAGAGTGACTGATTGAATAGTGTTGTTTACCTGGCGCTAAGAATGCGATACTGGTCATCTGTCATGTACAAACCAAGACTGTCAAGCACCTGAATATGAAGAATATCGTTAAAAAATAACCTTGTTCAAGAAGTTATTCACAAAAATCATCATTTTCCTAAAAGACGACTCGCGCCCCGATGCTAATGTACTATTTTCGCAATAGTCCCCTTCACAGTTCCCTGCGCCATCTTGCAAGGTAGCCGTGCCTTTGCATCGAAGCGAGATGAACAGTGAGCTTTCAATGATGCTCACCGTTCGTCTCGCTTCGATGCAAAAACACGACTACCTTTCAAGATGGCGCAGGGAACTACGAAAGGGACCACTGACTAGGAGATATTGAGTGCGCACAGACCTTTTAGCATGGACGTAATGTTTTCCCATTTCAGACCACGTGTCATTCTCTTGAGAAGAAGATCCTTTGTTTGAGTGTATTCATATTGGTGTGTCTTCTGATTTGCAACTGTTAAACAAAGAAATAATACTCTAGGGAATGACACGTGGTCTGAAATGGGAAAACATTACGCCCAAGGTAAAGAGGTCTATTACTCTGTCTTTTGATTTGCAACTGTTAAACAAAGAAATGATACTMTAGGGAATGACATGTTGTCTGAGAAGGGTCAAGATTCCACCAGTGAACTAAATATGAATGTTTACCAGACGGAACTCTTTTCTTGATATCTTTCCATCATTATCACTATCAAACTTGACAAAGGTTTTGCGTATATCAGGAGATCTCTGAGAAATATGCTCCTATAAAAAGAACRAGTGAAAGACAAGGGAATGAGTAAGACTTTTCTTCATTTCCTTCAGTTCCCGTCCACACTAATGGGTTTTTTCGCTTAAAATCGAAATCATACTTTTCAATGCGTTTTGGCCTTGCGTCCACACTAAAACCTTCGAAAACCCAATGTCATTTAAAAACGCATTCATTYGAAAACGCTCTCTGAGTGAAGACATTTGAAAACGGAGGCCTATTGAATTACCGTGGACAGTGAAAACGAAGGATTTAGAAAACGCTTACGTCATTCACACGGGGGAGGGGTCTGATTTCGCATGCGCAGATGATGATATTACTTCATTTCTAATCGTATCTGTGTACTTGAGCGCTTTAGTGTGAACGGGCGGAAACGCTTTGTATACACTAGTGTGGACGCAAAGCTTTCGATGCGGTTTGAAAAGAAAACGGAGCGTCCCAAAAAAAGTATTAGCCTCAGTATTTTATGGCACATTTGAGACATACCTTAAGTATTTCCATACATTCATCCGCTGACTTCTTCCCTGTTAGACCGAGGGCGCGGTCATATGCAGCTTCTTGTCTGTTGTGCTGATCGAACTTCATAAAGTCAGCTTTTGCTTCACTCTCATCGTGGATACGAGTACTAATTCCATTGATATCACCGCTTATGATATCTACTCCCTTGAAAAATCAAAATCAAAAATCAAAAATCAAACGAAAAAAATATATATAGCGATTTGCAAAATCTCTGCAAAAGTCAAGTGTTCTGTCAATCCCCAAGTGCTTTATAACTGCACACAGCACAGCAAGCAAGTTTTTTATTTCTTTTATAAAATACAAATTACAGGAATGATTAAACTGGAAGTGCGCGCTCGTGCTGTGTGCTCTCATAAAGCACGCGCACTCAACCAATCAGAACGCGACATTCACAACAGTTATTTTATAAATTTATATATCCATATTTAACCTTTATTAAAACGTCTTTTTAAATTGAAAATTACTCATATTGCACCCGATATATCGATATTCACTTTATTTACAGAATGTCAAAAATGATCATAAATAAAAATAGATGTTATTCGTGTTTTAAATAGAAGCAGAACAAACATGATTGGCAGCCAAGGAACGAAAAGAAAATGGCATAAGAAGGGGTTCAATCTGAAACGCTCAATTCTTGTATGAGGCCAAACAAAAAAATAAGTGTGTTTCCTGTTGCGCGACTGACCCTAATTTTCTTGCCGATTTTTGCCGACCCTAATATTTTTTTCATTCYCRAATGCACCACAGGGTTCCCAGTAAGCTCATTTCCACTGTTGTATCAGTTTAAAAAAATCTGACCTACCGACCCCAATCATTTTTCTCATGCAACAGGAAACACACTTATTTTTTTGTTTGGCCTTACACCTCGACAAAGTTACTTTCAAAGAATCCATCTCATTTTAGTAAATATTCCATTTGGGGTTTTTCAAAAGTCTTTTATTCAAAGTATTTTATGCGTTTCACTTATTTATCAATAAGGCAACAGAATCGTAAAAACGGAATTCTGGAGCACTGAGATTTACTTACCAACTTATTTAGAAACTCTTGAAAATCCACAGTGTTATCAGCATTTACATCACAACGACCCCAAAGCCTGTAAAAGATATTTTACAACTTTATGAAAATAGTAGTCGGGGAATGATGGTTTACTACATTACTATACGCTAGGAAAAAGCAGGCTTAAAACTGCACTTTTTCGGTTTTCCTTTCTCAGTAAAACCCAAAATGCTAAATTTCAATTCCATCTGTGAGTTAGTCGTGCCCTGACTCAGATCAGCCCAGAGGTTGCTTCAGGGTTCAATCTGTGAGTTAACCGTGCCCTGACTTAGATCAGCCCAGAGGTTGTTTCAGGGTTCGATCTGTGAGTTAACCGTGCCCTGACTTAGATCAGCCCAGAGGTTGTTTCAGGGTTCAATCTGTGAGTTAACCATGCCCTGACTTWGATCAGCCCAGAGGTTGTTTCAGGGTTCAATCTGTGAGTTAGCCATGCCCTGACTTAGATCAGCCAGAGGTTGTTTCAGGTTCGATCTGTGAGTTAGCCATGCCCTGATTTAGATCAGCCCAGAGGTTGTTTCAGGGTTCGATCTGTTAATTAGCCATGCCCTTCTTAGATCAGCCCAGAGGTTGTTTCAGGGTTTAATCTGTGAGTTAGCTGTGCCCAGACTTAGATCAGCACAAAAGTTGTTCCAGGGTTCAATCTAAGGAACCCTTATAGTAAGGTAATCACAAGAAACCATTGCATCCAAGCATGGTAAGTTACTTACATTTCATAGTGTTCGTCGGACAGGGGGAGGCAGTACTTCTCCAGGAGTTTTCTGAGTTCCCCTCTCGATATGGACCCATCTCTATTGTCATCTATGTTAATATAAGCAGTAGCAATACTTTTCCAGTTATCCATAATCTTGAACCGCAAGATATCTTCCACCTGATAAAAAATGTATCGCGAGTAAGAAAAGCATGCGACCGGCAAGCTACCGTAAACTGCAATAAAAGAGAGAAACATGCAGCTCCGATCAAATTCGAAGAATGCGCATTTGAATGTTCTTTTAGTCGAGACAGAAAACCTTTTCAGTGGCATAACAAATTTTTGAAACCCATTCAAGTGCTGTCATGACATTACATTCCAAAGCATCTCTTTCTACTATTAAAAAAAAAGAGTTTGTAATAAAGGACGCGAAAAAATTGATGGTAAGGTTGATGTATATCATAATGGTCAAATATGATGAAGAAAATGATGATGGGGTAAATATAGATTAAAGCCGATGATTTTTAAGTTGCTATTCTGTATACTTACAGTAGACCAAGCGAGAACTGCAGGTGGAGAGATGCTCTTTACGGTATCATCACTCATAAGCCAAGGGTGGCCCTCCTGTAAAATAAATACCAAGTCATCTTAAAATAAAAACTGCAGTGAGAGAAGTAAAAATCATCCTTTGGGAGCCCTGTGGTTTGGGGCAGATCCCAATTGAACTAGAACGATGGTTGTATACCTCTGTTTCTCGAGGCTCAAACTTTTCCAGGAATTCCAAGTACGACACAGAGCCTTTGTTATGAGGGTCGATTTTTGCCATCAGTTCACGGAACTGGTCTTCTGTCATTCTGAAGCAGAAACTCTCAAGTATGCGACGGAAATCACGTTTGGTGATGCGACCATCCTTGTTCTGAACAAACGAGAAAGGATAAGTACTGTTAAATATCCTACTAAAAGATATAGGATGGAAAAATAAGGCGCGGTGAAAATATAAGAAAATTGAAGCCCGAAAGTTTTTTTCTTTTCTTTTCTTTTCCTCGTCTCTCTTTTTCTAATTCTATTTTCTTTCTTACTTTTATTCCCTTCCTTTCATTTTTCCTTTTTTCTTCCTTTTTTGTCTTTCCTTCCTTCCTTTCTTCTTTCTTTCTTTTTTCTTTCTTTCTTCCTTCCTTCCTTCCTTCCCTCCTTCCTTTCTTTTTTCTATTTATTCTAATTTTCGAAATTTTTAAAATACGTACATCATCAAAAACCAGAAAAGCCTCTTTAATGGAGGAAAAACTTTGAGACACTTTGGAGAAGAGAAATTTCCAGATGTCTTCTGTCGTTGGTTGATCTTCAGCTTCACGTATTGGATTGAACCTGTAGAATAATACAACGAAGTTAGATAGCCCTATGTCATGTGCTTCATTTGCTGCACAAGCTATTAAGTTTGACTAGATTGTTTTAAATGTAACATTTGTTTACTTGTGATTGGAGCGAATAGGGATGGTTTGACCATTGCCATCAGATCTTGGTTCTTGGAATTTGTCCAGAAACTGTTCATAGGCAATTTTGTGGCTTGCTTTGATTCCACACCTGAATAAGTAAAAGGATTCAATCAGCAGAGCAGAAAAACGTTCATAAGTTAGCTCGTGAATCAAGGGTGCTGTAACGTCAATACGATCCCATCGCACCTCTGGGGTTTCAGGTTCAATTTCCAGACTTGCTGTCAAATGTGAGTAGAGTTTGTAAACCTGCCTCTCCCTAGATTTGACGGTTTTTCTCCCTAGACAAAATCCACCACGTTGAATCTGTGAGTTAGCCGTGCCCTAACTTAGATCAGCCCAGAGGCTGTTTTAGGGTTCAATCTGTGAGTTAGCCATGCCCTGACTTAGATCAGCCCAGAGGTTTTTTCAGGGTTCGATATGTGAGTTAGCTGTGCCCTGACTTAGATCAGCCCAGAGGTTGTTTCAGGGTTCGATCTGTGAGTTAGCCATGCCCTGAATTAGATCAGCCCAGAGGTTGTTTCAGGGTATCAATAATTTTTAATATCCATTTTTATTTTCCCTGTAATTTAAGGACAATCCTCATCATCACGTACCTTCCCATTAGTATATCAAACAGCCCAGCTGTCATTGGAAAAACAAACTGATTGAGGACTCTCTTCAGTTCACTGAGGGTAACAAAGCCATCTCCTCGCTGATCAAATGCCACAAATGCACGCTTCATATCAGAGTAATTCTCAACCATCTGGAAAGTAAAAGAGAAGGAAATGAAGAGTTCCATCACACACGAAATAAACAAATTATATACCTATTTCAGAAATCGTTGTCGCACCAAAAGCCTCAAGCATCAAGCCAAGACTGCAGAGAACGCCGGTACTTTTAGCTGTAATTAGTTTATTCATGGTACATTTTCATTTATTGACTTCACAAATTGCTCCAAGCAAGGCTGCTTGAGATGACAATTAGTGTAGAGCTATAGCCACTTGCATGAACCATGAATAAATCAAATATAATTAAAAGTACCAACATTCTCTGGAGCCTTGGCTTGTTACTTGAGGCTCTTGGTKCGACAACGATCTTCGAAATAGGTGTATATTGGTCAGATAACATGACCATGTGATAACATATGAAGTACCTTTTTGCGCAGTTTGAGCTCCAAGTCTTTGACAGTCATTGCAGTGGGGGACCCTTCCCTACTGCTTCCACTTGAATGTGGTCGTTTGTTAGTTGCCATTAGTTTAACCTTTTCTTGGCCTGTATCTTGAGACATTCGAATATTTATTGTCAGTACTATAAATTTCTTGATGGCCCCACCCTATTTGCCATGTATTCTTTACTAGGTAAATTATATTACTTGGACAGCTCTTATCAACAAAAATGTAATAAGAAATAACACAATAGACCTTATTCGTGGTATGACAATGCTTTCCCAATTCAGCATGACAAACCTCTAGGGGAATGAAGAGCTATTGTTTTGAAACTCCTTGGGATATCATCGTTATTCCTTTCGTATGCTTTGGGATACTCATGAATTTTTCGAAGAGTAAAAACAAAAGAAAATGAATCCCCTGTTTGTTTGTCATGCTGAATTGGGAAAACATTGTGACACCACGAATAAGGTCTATTTGGTAGGGTAGTGAAATTTACATAGTCGAGTGATTTTCATCTAGGCTCTTTCTAGATCGAATTAGAATTTAGAATTTGATTGTTGTGAAGAGAGGAACACAGGAGAACCCCGGGTGGGGGGGGGGGG